CTTCCTCAGAGTCTCTGATTTCTTGTTCTCCTGAGAATTCTCTATCCCCTACAGCATTCTCACCGCCCGCCCACCATACTAGGTCTCGGTCACTATGTCCTTCCAGCAGGCCACGTGATTGTTCCAGCTTGTGCCGGGAACAGTCGCCATGTTGCAACCCTCTGCCACGTGGCATGGCGCCACCGTGTTCAGGAGGGTCACATGGCGACAGGGTGCCGCCGTGTTTTGGGTCACGTGACAAGGTGCCACCATATTCCCAGGACCCTCACTGTCAACAGGCGTCCCCTTGTGGCTCCTCTTGTGAACTGCAACAGCTGCCCTGTTGCAATGCGCATGACGCTTCATTGTGCTGCTGACAGCAATCCTCTCGCTGCAAGGCACACAGTGAGACGCCATCTGCCTGTGTTTCCCCGGGTGACCAGCAGCAGCTCTGTAGGCCCTCTACAGATGATTGCTCACACGGGCCTACTGGATGGATGGCTGCTCAATGGCCTTCTGCTCCAGAATCTTCTCCTCAGGCTCTGCTACCACTTCGGGAGCAAGCTGGCCCCAAGGGACTTGTTAACATCCATGTGCCTTTTTCCTTTCTGATCTATCTCAGATTACCCATAAATTAGGTAGCTTCTCTGTTGACCCACAGAATTATATCAGGCAATTTAAATTTATTACTAATTGTTATGACTTACATTTTAAGGATGTTTATGGGATTCTAAATACCACTCTCAGCTCACAAGAACAGAATCAGCTGTGGCAAGCAGCTCAAAAAGAAGCTGATCACAGACATAAGGTAAACAATGCTGATAATGACCCTGGGCCTATAGCTGTGCCAGAGCAGGACAAGCATACTAACTATAACAAACTTTTAAAACAGGTTCAGGAGGCTAATAAAAACCCAGCTGTGTTCCTAAATTGGCTTTCTAATCCTCGTGCCCTGCAAGCAGTTCCAGCTTTGCGTGCTGCGTTGGGCCGCCTCCCAGCCCCTCCCCATGCACCATCCCAGCCCCTCCCTCCCCCATGTGCCGTCGTCACCACCACCTTACGTGTTTCTGGGGGCAGTCCCAGCCGGCCCCTGCGCGATACGTCCTGGTGCTCGCCCCACCCCCATGCTGGGCGTGCTCTGCCGGCATGCCGAAAAACAGCAGCTCAGCGGCTCTGCACAGACATGCTTTTTTTTACAATTCGGCTCCGCTCAAGAGATGCTATTTTTTCATCACAATTCTCAAACCATTTAATCAAAGTTACTGGCCACCTGATAACTTTACCAGCCTTGTTTATCAATCAAAGCCTTCACCAATCTCCTGTTTAACAACTAAGGTTATAAATTCCTTTTTGCTGGGAACCACTAGCTCTATTTCAAGACAAGGGTTTTCTTCAAAGTTTTATTTTATTTGTCTTGGTTCATACTTCTTCAAATAACAACTTTAAAAAATAAATGTGTTCAAAATTTGACAGTATTAGATCAGTTTTGATAGGTTTATTCATAAGATTGCTAAACCTTTACTGCAAAATGTTTCCATTAAAGCCTTTTTAGACAGATTAAAGCCTTTTTTGGTTAATTCCACGTGGCACCCTATTAAAAAAAAAAAGCGGTGTGCCATCCAGATAAAGCCTGCTCTCTGATCTGAAATGCCAATATTAAATTCCTACATACTTAATTCTACTGTAGTCCAAATCCCAAACAAAAAGGCAAAACTTGACCTTCAAACCTTATAGAGCTCTTAATATGGTTTTTCATATTTTTAACACTTGTGACACTTGGAGTTCTGAGGCAGGTAAACCTACACAAGGTGGAGCTGCCTGGCCCCCACATGGACCATGCTCAAATGCAGCAGAAGACATTGGGCAACAAAGTACCCCATCCTGGTGTTCTTTGAGACCTTACTTCAGGGCTGCTGGACTCTCCTAGCCACCAAAGCGTGGGTAAGTCATCCTAACTTCTAGCCCTCACAGGAAATGTCAACACTGCCAGATTCATTGGTGACAAAATGCTGCCGAAGACTGAGGGGGTTCAGGGCAACAACAGCCCCCTTTACGGTGTCCATCTCGGATTCCAAGTCACACTAAAGTCTCAGGTAAGACATTCTCTATATTTGTGGACATAGAGGCCATATATACAGAGTTCTTCCTGAGTTTTCAGGCTGCTATATTAAGCCCTCAATCTCTATGACAGGGTATTGATGGTCAACCTATGCCATTTATAAACAGGGCCTATTTTGTGCAGGTCCCAGTCCTAAATCTTTTTTTTTTTTTGTCTTTTTTGTTTTTATCGGTACCAGGGATTGAACTCATGACTGCCTGCTTACAAGGCAGGCGCTTATGCTGCTGAGCTAAATCCCCAGCCCCCCAGTCCTAAATCTTAAAATGCCTTTTATACAGGCTGACTTAGACACATTGAGGCCTCAACAGCTTCTACCTGTTATTGCTAGTAAACCTTCCTCAGTGATATAAGACCACCCCCTTCCTTTCTTATTCACCAATTTGTCAGACAACCTGGTCAAGACTGACAGATACATTTTGTCTTCTCACTTTGTTTATACTTTTTCAGGATACATAAAAGCCTTCCCCACAACCAGGTAAACTGCTAATACAAACCAGTTACAGCGACCCATGCCTAAATCAAAGTTGCTAGACTGCCATCCTGGTTTCACATCACTCAGGCTAAGAGGTGCCCTTCCAACCCTAAATCTGATCATTCTGAGTGGTCATCTCATCTTCTGTCGCCCATCTCCGTTTCACAGAGGCCTCGCAGCCACAGTTAACAGGCTAAGTCATGTTTTGTTATCCACTTTGGTTCCTAATTTCTTACGTTCTATTAATGATCATTTTTATAGCAGGACTCTTTAACAGTATTGCCTACAGACTCCAACGTCATGCATACCAGAGACAAGCCTTACCGACCTACCTCTTAACTTTTGTGCTTTCAGAAGGGGAGTAATTACCTCTCATAACTCCACTCCTCCTAATCCCACGTTTAATTTTCAGAATTGTGCCTTACTGTGGAACATGTCTAAATCAAAATCACCTTTTCCTCTACCTCACCTGGGTCCTTAAATATGACAGTGCCATGTCTCCTCATAACATCTTGTCTCTTTGTTTTTCCAGTCTAACACATGTGCATTCACCAGTGAAGTTGTCCTGGCCAAAACACCTGGCACCATCATCCATCGACTCCCCTAGGCTCCATGGCAGCACCCTCTGCCAAGAGGAAGTAGTTAAACAGAGAAATCTTTGCCCCTTTTCATAGTAATAATCATAAGACAGGATATGAAAGGGTTTTGGCCCAGACAGGACACTGTAGCCAGGAAAACCTCAACTGGAAGCAGGAAGCCCCTATTTCCCCCACCCCTAGGAAGTTACCTGTGATACCATCTTCCCGCACCTGGAAATTTACATATGGTGCCAAACCTAGGACCAATGGGCTACCTGTACATCCCTAATGCCCGCCTTAGGTTCCACCCCAAACCCAGGCTATTTACATACCCCCCCCGCCACGTGTCCACCAGAGAGATTGCTGGACGCCAGTGGTAGGAGTGCCGGTCATCTCTCTCCGTGTTCTCAGAATAAAGGCCACTTTTTATTTTATACTTCTCATCTTTTGGAAATATTTTTCATCTTCTGGAAATAATCCTAGCACTGGGCTGACCTCAAACACTCAGGGACCTCCTGTCCCAGCCACCTGAATGTTGGGATTACTCTTACACCACCACACCTGGCAAGTTGGAGGCTTTTATCCGTTTGCTCAAGAAATGCTTACTGCAGGAAGGCCTACTGTGTGCTCAGCCTGGGTTCAGGTCTAGAATACTGAGAAAAATAAGATTTCAAAATTGAGGAGAGAAAAAGAATAAGTACGGGAGGCTGAGCCAGGAGGGTCACTGCGATTTCAAGACCAGCCTCAGCTACATAGTGAATTCAAGGCCAGCCTGAACATACTGAGACCTCTGTCCCTCCCTCCCCCCCTCCCCCCCCAAGGCCTGAGGTGGTGGTGCACAACAATAACCCCAGCACTTGAGACAAGAAGATAGCAAGTTCAAATTTGCCTGGGCAACTTAAGGCGACTTTGTCAAAAATAAATAGATAAATAGACAGATAGATAAATAAAAGGGCTAAGTCTGTAGCTGAGTGCAGAGGCCCAAGGTTCAATCCACAGTACCACTCCTGTCAAAAAACAAACACAACACAGGAGATTACTGGGCAATAAACACCGTGAAGACAGCAGAGTTCTGCAGCAGCGTCTGGAGCCCAGAGCTCCATGCCCAGCTTGCATCAGAGTCCCGGGCTGGGTTCCTCGCCACAGATAACAAGGTCGCACTCACAGGCAGAAAAGGTGCGAGCTGGATGGGGTCAGGCAGATCAGCTGGGCTAGAAAAATGAGCAGCACACAGGCGCTGGCCGAGGGACACTGGAGGCCAGAACCTCGGCCATGGTCAGGTGGCAGGAGAGTCAGGGCAGGATGCAGCCGCCCTGCTCCAGCTACGGGGCCTCTGGACCTCCAGCGGGGTCTGTTTCCCAGAGTTCGGGGTGATCCCTGCCAGCCGGCTGGTCCTTTAGAAGTGCAGCGGCTCCTTGCTCACACACAGCAAAGCCAGAGCCCTACTGGACCGGGCCTGGCCCCCTCCACCATCTTCCTGGCCCTGGATGCTCCCCTCTCATCCCTCTCACTCAGGTCAGCAGTCACCTTCCCGGGGCACGCGACCTGTGTCCACACAGCCTGTCTTTCCTCCTACCCCATGTGCCCGTATCTTTTCTTGTCACCTTGTCGTCTGTCACTGTTGCATTTTGTTTTTGGATGATCTCCCTGATGACTAGGCCAGGTGCCTGGGATGAGGGTTAACATTCTGACCTGGGTTTGAATTCTGACTGTCAGTGATCAGTTGTACCGAGCTTCAGTTTCCCTATCTGTAACTTGGGTACCTGCTTCCAGTTCTTGGCAAGGGCCCCGCTGCCTCCCCCTTGCATTCCACTCACCCTTCTCTTTCAATAAACGAGTCTCCAAACTGACATGAACGCAGTATGACGTTTCCATTGACTTTGGGTTATAAGTCATTATAAATATTAACAAATAAGACTTAGAAAGGACACCTGCGGGCAGGTCAGACAAAGTACAAAAATTGTCGTGGGGCTGCAGTTGGACTGTTTCTGCAGCCGTCACATGGTAGCAAAACGGTGTGAAGCAGTGCACGAGTCTGCGTCGGCGACAGCCAGAGTCCATGCATCGGGAGGTTCACTCGGTTTGAGAAGGAACGAAGGGCAGGGCATGCACAGCCCGGGCTCGGCGGGCAGGCGGCCGGGGAGGCGCAGTTCCTCGCTATCGCCACTAGAGGTCAGGAAGTCACCGCCTCAAGGTTGGAAGACGGGCCCGTCGGGATTGGCTACTGGTGGTGGTGGGCGGGGCGCAGACCCGGCCCTGGTGTGAGCGCAGCGCCCCGGGCGACCCCTGGTGACTGAAGCCTGACTTTGGGATGATTTTTTTTTTTCTTTTTTGGCAGCAGAATTTGTCTCTAGGACTGATGGACCAGAGACAAGATGCCTGTTTGGGGTCAAAGGCAGAGTGGATTCTGCAGCTTCTCAGCGCTTTTCTTTTTAGAGGAGACCCAGTGTGTAGGGGCCTACCTAGGGCACAGCTGGGACCCCGACAGCTGTCATTTCCGGCCAGGACCCCCCTCGCCCTGTACCAGCTGGCTAGATCCCCGGCCCCTGGCCTGCTGTCGCTGTGGTCAGCCGGGACCCTCTTTCAGGTCAGTCAGGGGCAGAAGGGTCCTGGACCCGGTGCCAGGAACCCCGGTCTCCTGCCCCAGCCCCGCCCTTCCCTTCCAGATCTGTTTCCCCTTGTCTAATAAGGGTACCACACTGGGTGGGGGCCACACCCCCTTCTGGTTTTGCCACTTGTTACTTTCATAGCTTCACAGGCAGCTTAGGACCCTGTTGAAGCACTCAACAAGGCAAAGCTGAGAAGACACCTGTACTCACAGTCTCAGCACCCCTTAAAAACAGGTCACCTCTCACCTTGGCCCCCAGGATCTGAAAAGAATGGACAGCGAGTCTGGGGGCAGGCTGTGGGCTTCTGGGTAACCTCTGAGGGGCACGGATGGCTTCAAAGCTGGTTAAAGGCCAAGGGACAGGACAACAAGGCCCCACATCTCCACCGTGCACCAGACCTCACTGAGCCCCTAACATTCTGAGGACCTAGTTGGTTGGTCCTGGGGCCCAGACGATCAAAGGGGCTGTCTCAGTTCATCCCTACCCAGCCCTGTGACTCTGGCAGCCAGTCTCTGTGAGCCTCACAGGAGTGGCGATGATTCGTGAAGACACTGCCTGGCAGCCTGGAGCCACAAGGCCAAGCCCTTCTAGAGGTGACAAAGCCAAGTTTCTGTGAGCAGCAGATGTGGCTGGGTGCTGCGTTCCCATCCTCCTGCTGACTGGGAAGGGCTGATGGGCGCTGAGATGTGACTGTCACCTCTGGCCTTGGAGGAAGTGCTCTGTGCTAGCAGCACAAGGTTCACCCTTACGCCTGGAGCTGGCAGTGGGGCTCCCATCAGTGTGTATCCAATGCTCTGGCTTGGGGTGGGGACCATGGATCCTGGCCCCAGCTGTGCCAGGGTTGCAAGGCAGTGACGGGCAGGTCCTTGTCCCCCTCAGCCTCCATGGGGTGAGCAAGGAGGGGCCCTGTAGCAGTTTTGAAACACCTTGTTTGTGCATTTGTTCACCCACAACTCCAGAAGGTCCCTTCATGCCTAGATCCCAAAACTTCGATGCTCTCAGCAGCTTCCTGGAGAGGAAGACGGGCAGGGTCTCTCTCAGCTCCTGGCTGTTCCAGAAACTAGGCCCTGGACAGCTACCGAGTGCTCCAAAAGGGACATCCGATCACACCACAACAGGGCCAGGAGGCTGTGGCCCAGGGGCCCCCAAACATGTTGCTTGAACCCTAAGGAGCTGGGGAAAGGAAGGGGGTACTTGAGAAGGAAGGGGTGCCTCTTTTCATGCCAGAGGCGCCCCTTTCTCTTCCCCGTTGCAGCTGACCGACACTCAGGCTGAGCAGAACCAGGTGCAGCTCTGAGGACAGAACCTGACCCTGTACCTGTCATCAGCTTCCCCAACTGTCACAAGCCCCGCCCTTACCGGACAAACCTAAAGACTCCACCCCACCCCGCCCAGGGCCTTCTCCCCAGCCCTGGGCCTTCTCAGAACAGTCCCACTGCCCGGACTGTTCTTCCCGCTCTACCTAGAGACCCCTCACCCCGAAGCCTTGCTGTGTACCACCTCCTCCAGGAAGCCTCCCTCAGCCCCGGTCCACGTGCGGCTCCTAAACTACGAAGTCCAGCCAGACCCCGTGTCTCACCTGCTGGCAGAGGCCTGAGTGAAGCCCTCACCCTGAAGCCTCCAGGAGCTGCACCCTTGCTCACAGCCTCTTCCCACCCGTCCAGCCATGCCAGAGGGGAAGGGATGTGGTAGGATGTTCTGCCTCCTTCATCCAAGTCCTGTCCTCTGCCGCCCGGTCTCCCTCCTCTGTCCCTTTGGCGCCAACCCGAGCACCTCGCCTGTCTGCACTCCCCGCCCTGCTGACCTCTACAAGGTCCTTGTGGCTGCATGGCCAAGGCCTTTTCCTCCCCCCGCCTGCCCACTGCGCCCGGGAGGTGGGGAGCAGGCCTGGCCTTCTGCCCTCCCTTGTCCCTCGGATGGCCGGGTGTTGTGTCCACCAAACGGGGCTGCAGTGGTTCTGTGTCCGAGCAGGCATCTTGATGGTGCCCAAGACAGGGGCCACAGCCCTTGTGACAGCCGGGGAAGCCCAGGGCCAGGCCTGTGTGGGCTGGGCGGGGTGGCGGGTGGGGTCAGTCGCTGAGCACGGCCCCTGGGAGCTCGTTGGTGAGCGTGTGCCAGCGCTCCACACGCTTGTCCTTGTTCTTCAGGCAGTCGAACCAGTGCTTCAGACGCTCGCCCTTGGCATTGATGCCCAGAACCACACCACCTGCACGGAAGATGCACGGGGTCATCGACTGCCTGGCTGCTGCTGGAGATGGGAGCTCCTCTCGGGCTCTGTGCTGAGGTCAGACTCCCCCGCTGTCCACCAGGCTGTGGGTGCAGACATTACCAGGCCTCCAGCCCATCCCGACCCCCAGCCTGTGGCCCCAGGCTTCCTCTTGTGGTGTCAGCGCAGAGCTGGGCAGAGGCGGTGCCGGGCATGAGTTAGGGCCAAGGAACAGGGACCAGAAAAGGTGGGGGCAAGGCAGCCTCACTGTGGGGGCTATGCACCCACTGGGAACTCAGGGCCACATGGGCCTGGAGTCCAGACGGCGTGTCCCAGCTTCCAGACAGACTGCTGGGCGAACCTCTTCCCCTCTCGGCCCTGTGTGCTCTCACAGAGGGGCAGGCTGCACAGAGTCAGAGCCTGCCTTCCATTCTCCCAGGGAGGGCCTGTGCCGGGCCAGGGCTGGCGCCGGTCACACCTGGAAAGGTGCAGGACGACACCACATTCCCAGCAGGCTCTCTTACCAATGAAATCATTGGATTTCCCGATGTCGTAATCCCACACGGTGACTTCCAAGGTCTTCTTGGCCAAGTCCCCGTGCTTAATCTCATAGCAGAACTCCTGCCAGTCAGAAGGGGCGTGTTAGGGCCAAGGCCACGCGGCCAGCAGGGGTCCGTGAGGCCGGAAGGCTCTGGAGGGAGAGCGAGGGGGCAGGCTGGGCCACACCTGGGCTGAGGAGGGTGGGTGAATTCTCAGCCTTCCCGCTCACTTCTGCCTGAGGGCCCTGGACAGTGCCCCATTTCCTCCACCTACCTGCCCCTCTGCCCTGCAGCTGTGATTTCCACATGGCTGTGAGTCCCCTTCCCCATGACTCACTGCACAAGAAACAGTTCTTCATCCTTGACTCCTAGGCTGACCTCATCTTTTTGGGGGGGGTGGGCTGAAGTGGTACTAGGGTCTTTGCCAAATCCCTGCATCTTTTTTATTTTGAGGCAAGTTCTTGCTAAACTGCCCAGGCTGGGCTCAAACTCAAGATCCTCCTGCCTCAGCCTCCCAGAGTGCTAGATTATAGGTCTGCACTAATGCTGACTTTTTTGTGTATGGGCCTCTTTCCTGCCAGCTTCTGAGATGCTCTAACATCAGGTACTTCTTCCCACTGCTCTGCTCCTCTCTCAGCTGCCTCTGGGATCTCTGGTGAGGCTTAGGCTGGGCTCAAGGGCCCTCTGCTCATGTACCACCATGCACCGTGCAGGAGCACTAGATCTGTGCTTCTAGGTACACCCACCCTTGATATCTGCCTGACTGCTGTGCCTTTTGGAGCCCTAGGGCATTGCTCACCCCATCATCTCCTCATCTTCTTCACAATCCTGTTCCCAACCTATGGGGGTGGCTCAAGCAGTAGGGAAGTCCCCTAACACTTCCTCTTTCCACCCCTACCTCCGCCATGGCCACAGTCCCAACAGAACCTCCGCAGAGCTTCCCCCACCCCCATCTACAGCACTGTGGCCTGGGGCACCTCAGAGCTCCCCCATGGCTGGGTGTGGTCAGCAGCTCGACACCCTCTTCTACCACCTCCAGCTCCTGCAGTGACCCTTGGGAAACCCACTTCCTCCAGATCCTCCATCCTGGAGGATGCGCACCTCAAAGCCACAGTAGGCCCTCGTACCTCGTTGAACTCTGGATTCAGGGTTTTCTTCTTCACCGCTGTCTTGTGTTTGGATTTCTTGTCCACATCTGGCTTCAGGTATCTGGAATCACAACCAAGGGACAGGTAGAGGTTGAAGAGGAGCCTTGGGGTACAGAGGCAGCCCGCAGAGCTCAGTAGAGCTTTTGTCTGGTTGCAGGACCCCTGGCACGGCCTTTCGGGAAAAGGCAAGTCAGTGGCAGCGGGAGAAGTGGGCGATTCATGTGGTTTGCGTGTGGGCACCCCAAAGCTCCATGGAGCCCCTCAGTCTCCCATAGAGGGCACGTTCCTTGCTTCCGGAAGTCTGATTTGTGCAAAACTTATTATACCACCCCCCGAAAGACATTTTTAGCAGAGTTGGTTCCTTGTTCAAGAGTTTTTTTTTAAATAGTAGGTTTATTTATTTTTGGTACTGGAAATCAAACTCAAGACCTTGTGCTTGCCAGGCAGGCACTGCACTGCGAGCTGTATTCCTGGTCCTAAGGCTTACAGATGCGTATTCACATACCATAAAATCCATCTGTCTACTCTGTGAAATCTGTGTTTCCTCATACATCCCCAGAGTTGTGAAACCATCATCACACCCTCCTTGGAGCTCTGGAGAAGGGAAAGGCCTGCGGGGACTCTCAGGGAGGCGTCCCATGGAGGCAGGGGCACCAGCCAGACATTCTTCCGTCCACAGGCACACACTGCTTAGCTCCTGCACCGAGGCTCAGCACGTTGAAGTGAGCACCCCAGGACCAGTGGAAAGTCTCACGTGTGCAGAAGTGGGTGTTTGGAAGGGGCAGGACTGGGGTGTTGGACTCCTCAGTGGATCCACTCAGGCTGAAGTCAGAGCTGAATGAGCTGCCATGCGGCAGGGCTGGCTGGAGGCGTCATGGAGCCGTGACCTCTAAGGGTACGTTCTTGTCCCTCCCAGCTCTCTCTGCTTCCCAGCTGTCTTGAGGGGAGCAGCCCTGCTCCCGCATGTCTTTCAGCCATGTCTGCTTGGAATGGGCCTACCATGGGCTGAATGCAACCTGCCCTAACCTGTAAGTGTCAGAGTGGTGTCCCAGCGATCAGGACGCTAACACAGGCCCCAGCCTCTCCTTTGCAGCCCTGTCACCCTGCCCTTGCACAGATAGGTGTGCGACGAGGGCCTCCCCCCACTGGATGTGCAGTGGGCTCAGAGCCACAGCGGTCTCCCCATCACTGGCTTCCTGCTGCCCAGCTCAGTGGCCAGTACCGCGTGGGTCCATAAGCTGAGCGCCTGAATTCCCAGCAGCGAAACGACAGCGAAGGTGAGTTGGGGTCAAGCTTCGTGTATAATTCGCAAAACTTCCCTCCAGAAAGGCTGTGTGGCTGACACTCAGGGCCCTGGCAGAGAACTGGCACTTTAATGTCTTCGCTGGGGTCTCACTGTAACTTTACTTTGCATTTCAGAACTGGGACTTTTATTACATGGACACTTCTGGTTTATTACAGAAACAGTGGAGGCAGTGCACTGACAAAAACTAAGGTAGGCGAGAGATGGGGCCACGCAGGGCCTTTCGGAGACAGGAAGCTGAGGACATGAGAGCAGCAGACCCTGCCTTGGCCAGGGCCTCTTCTCCAGGGTCAGGCGAGGTGTGACTGTGATGCAGCTGCCCCTGGGCAGGTCCCCCACTGAAAGGCCACTGGGCCTGGCTGCAGGCAGCTCCCTCCCACCCCAGCTGTCAATGGGCCTAGCTTGGTGCAAGCGAGGAAGCCAAGTGAGGTCCTGCTTTCTGGGTGACCTGGTGAGTGACCTGGAGTCCCTGCCACCCAGCAGTGGGCACTGACCATGACATAAACTGTTGATGGCATGTTGGCCTAGGCTTGTATTTCTGTCTGAAGGGAAACCTAGCATTCAGGGGAAGGCGAGGCTCCCTGCTGGCCTGTGTGGTCTCGCTGCCCTCTCTCTCCAGGACCCTCACCCAAGGCGCACTCTGCATGGTAAAGAAATGTGGTGGCCTCCCGGTGTCTTGGGATGGTGGCCCCAGGACAGCCCAGATGGCAAACCTGGGGATGCCCAAGTTCCACATATAAAATGGCTCAGCATCTGCACATACCCCCTATCCTCCCGTATACTGTACGTTAAGTCATCTCCAGATTACCTGTAATACCCAATGCAGTGCAAAACTGTTACACTGTTATAGACAATAATGACAGGAGAACAGAAGTCTGCAGGCGCTCAGCACAGATGCAATTCCCCTGCCCTGCACACAGTACTCCGGACGCAGAGGGCCATCTGTGGAACGGTGACACGCTGTGTGTGCGGCTCGGCAGATTGCTTTGCATAGCTGTCCATGTTAATCCATTTAGTGCTAATGTATTCGCTTAACCACACAGTACACCCGGGTGCCTGTGCCACCTTTTATTAATCTATTCCGCTGATGCACATTTGGAGATTGCTGGTTTACTGCTATTACAAGCAGCGCTGGCATAAACAGCTTCCCAGTGCGCGCGAGTTTCTAGGATACAAACCTGGAAGGAAGGTAATGTGGCCATCAGGTGCGCACGTTTTCCAACTTTCCTGGAGGCTGCAAACCTCTCCAGTGCATAAACAGTCTGCTGACTGCCCTTTCCCACCTGCACTTTCCTCTCATGCTCAGTCTCTAAGCCACTGGACTACATTTTGAAAAATTTTTTTGCTAAAATTTTTTTTTTTGGAGACAGGTTCATTGATTTGCCTAGGCTGGCCTGATTTCCAAGCAGCTGGGATGGCAGGCATGCTCCCCCCCCTCGGTATAATTTTACACATTTTTATTACTCATTTTTATTACACATTTTATTATAGGTGTGCCTGTGACCTACTGCATGAGATCAGGTGTGAAATTTTCTGCCAGCAGCATTACGTGGGGACTGCAGAGTTTCAGATTTTGAAGCACTCTGTACTCTGGTGTTTGATTGGGGATATTCAAATGGCACTCCACTCCTCTGAGGGGCTGAGTCATGCTCCGTGGTGTGGATAAACCCACATCTTGTTTTCCACTCATCAGCAGAGTGATGCCTCCGGTCTTTCCACTTTTAGCAGCTGTGAATAATGCCGCTACAAACATTCATGTATGTATTTTTTTGTGGATGTACATTTTCAGTTCTCTCTGGTATAATGTTCAGAGCGGAAGAGTTAGATCGTATCACCACCCTGGCTTGTGTTGAACTTTTGGTAACTACCAGTTGGTCTCCAAAAGGCTGCAAAAATCCTTACATATGATTTAAAAAATGACTCAAAGAGCTGGCTGTGGTGGCACATGCCTGTAATCCCAGCACTTGGGAGGCCGAAGCAGGAGGATTGCTGTGAGTTCAAGGCCAGGCTGGGCTACAAAGTGAGTTCAAGAACTGCACAGTGAAATCTTGTGTTAAAAAGACAAAAAAAAAAAAAAAAAAAAAAAAAAAAGAGAGAGAGAGAGAGAGACCAAAATGTGGTAGGCGCCATTGGGCATGCTACCTTGAGTTGTGCCATGAGGAGCGCTGGCCTCCCTGTGGGACCCAGCCATGTCCCCAGACTCCTCACCGGGGTCTTTTTCCTTTCTTCTTAGCCACTGTCAACCAACCAAATCCTTCCTTAGCCCGAGAGCCCCTTTCTTTCCTTCTGCTAAGCTGAGTCCCTGCATCAGGGGCCCTCCCTCAGGATGGGGATCCAAGCACTCAATTTGTGCAAAGCCGATAGTCATTAAGGTGCCATGCCACCCTCCTTCCCCTGTGAGCCCAGAGCACAGCCTGTTCTGCCAGGCCCTCAGCTCTTTGGCCCTGGTCACTGGGTGCCGCTCCCAGGTAGTGTCTCTCCTTAGTGCCACCATCAGTGGTAGGGCTGGGCAGACCCTTGGCCAGTCCCGATGGTGTCCTTTGCCAGGTCTCCCAGCTTCCCTGCTAGCCCTGGCCCTGGCTCCTTGTGTCCCCTCCCCCAACCTGCTTAGGACGTGGGGCCCAGTCACAGAGAGGCCTGTCTGCTGCAGTAGGAGACACTTATTCTCTGTGTGACCTAAGAAGCCACTCAACTCCTTTGGGCCTCAGTTTCCCTATCTGTAAAATGGGCTGGCCACATGTGCCCCCCCTCCCCATTGCCAAACGAGTGCTTAAGAGAAGACGCCCTTGTGGACACGGTGTCCCTCAGTGCTGGCCATGCTTGGCCACAGGGCCAGATGCTGAGTCACTGAGTGGTCAGGGGAAGCAGGTGGCAGGCCTGAACTGCACACTCACGTTTTGACGTAGGGGTCTGAGTAGCCATTGGCGTCCATGGCGGCCAGGTGAGCGCACCGCACGATGCCCACCAGCAGGCCCTGCTTCTGGGAGCTGTACTTGAGGGAGATGAGGATGCGGCCCCGCTCCTCCAGGGACTTGTCTTCTGTCTTGTCCACCTGTTGGGCAAGCAAGTCACTCAGCAGCCCTCACCTGCTCCTGTCCCTAGTGGACAGGTGCTGTCCCAGGGCCCTCGATTCATCAGTGTGCTCCACTGCCACCGTACTGCGGGCCTTGTCGGGGTCCCTGGTGAGAGGTCACAGCCCTGTCCCCCTGTGGCCTTTCTGCCGCTCTCTCTCTCTCCTGAGGACTCTGTGCTCCCTGCTCCCACATGCTGAGATGGCTTTCATAGCCCTGCACGTCCTGGCCCGATGGCCAGATTGGACTGGTTACCTGGCCCCACCTGGAACCTCACCAACAGTGGTCTTCACTTTCTTCCACGGTCAAAAAAGTGAAAATAGTACTCATGACACATAAAAGTCATATAAAGTTGGCCGGGTATGGTGGCACATGCCAGTAATCCTAGCACTTGGGAGGCTGAGGCAGGAGTATCACCAGGAGTTCGAGGTCAACCTGGGCTACACAGTGAGTTGAAAGCCAGCCTGAACTGCATAGGGAAACCCTGTCTCAGAAACAAACCAAGAGACAAACAAACTACGTGAGTTTCAGCCTTGGCGTCCATTTGTAAGGCCTACTGGAACTCAGCCTCACCCTTCGCTTCTACTTTACAGTGGCAGAGTAAGGAGATGTAACAGAGACGGTGGGGACAGCAAAGTCTAACAGATGTGCCATCTGGCTCTGCAGAGAGTCTGCCAACCCCTGCCCTGGCACCAGCTGCTTCAGCAGGTGGTCCCTGCTCTGCCCTCTTCACAGCTGAGGTCTGCTCTGCTGAGTCCTGCAGCCCGCGCTGCTCCCGGCCTTTTCTCAGGCCGAGCCACTCTTGGCACACTCCGGTCGTCTCCAGATCTGATGAATCGTCTCTAGGATGAGGCCCGGCTCCATCGGCCTGTCCTGGGATTCCCTGACCCCTGGGCAGCTGGCCGTCCTGCCCTGTGGGCCCTGCCTCAGCTTCCTCCTGTCACCAGGTGCTGTGGCCACCTGCTTCCTCCTGTGCCTGCCTCTAGGCTCTAAGTCCCTCGAAGACAGAGTCTACCTGTTTCACGTTTATGCTCCACGGCTGGGAGGGGCCTGGCAGCGAATAGCGCCCACCTCAGGCTTATCCTGATGAAGGTGGGAACACACAGAGGGACACATGGTCCCTCTGGGTTCAATTTCATGCTGGCCACAAGGCCCAAGGCCTTAGAGAAAGGCCGGAAGGTCAGTCAAGCCCCTGCTGGAAGGCAGGTTCTCCTGTCCCAGTTCCCTCAGGGGCCTCCTGAGCCTCTCAGGGTCTGGAGTGGTCCCTGACGAGAGACAGAGTCAAGGCTTTGACCCTTTCCTAAGTTAGGGGCAGCTGGGAGCTGATTAGGGAAGCTGTCCAGTCCCCTCCCAGTTTCCCAGTGCCTGGTGCACACCTCAGGGCTTGGACCTCAACTCCGGGTCCTGCCATCTCATCCATCCTTGACACAACCAGACGCGTCTCTATCCCTGGTCCTCGCAAGATCATGCATTTTTTTGGCTGCTGCCACCCCGAACCCATTCCCCTAAACCTCAACTTCCCTGGACACATCCAGCTGGAGCCCACGTCTCCAACCTCCCCTCGGGACTCTGCTAGGCTCCTCTTCATGTGGGCCCAGGTTTTGCCTACCATGATCTCTGCTGACACTCATGTGAGTCCCCATGCAGCCACATCCAAACATTTCGGGAGCTCAGACTCTAGAAAGGGGCGAAGTTTTCAGGCATGGGAGATAGTTTGGTTCTCCCACATGAAGACCGCTGAGCAGGTCCCTGTCCAGCACTTAAAACAAACTATGTACACAGACCATAAACCCAAAATGTGCCACCCATATGCGTCTTACTGCTGGAGTGGTCACCAGATTGTTCTTTGAGCTCACCATGTGTCCCCACCTCACCAATGAGCTTGTAGCAAATTCAAGCAAGGCTCAGCCATGCCCAGATGCAGCCCAGGGCACAGGTGTGCATACTCAGGAACACACACTTTTGCATGCATGTGCATGCTCACACACACACACACACACACACACACACACACACACCCTACACACATGTTTGTTTCTTTGTGCACACGAGCAGAACTCAGGAACCCAACTATTGTGGCAGCCAGCACTATCTAAGTGAGTTAGATCATTTGAAAAAACTAGGTTACCTGCAGCTAGTGACTAATAATAAAACAGAAAAGGTTATATCCATCACACAAATGCCTATGAGTGGGAGAGAATGTGACAAAAGAACATAATTTTGATCAAGTTATGCAAAATGCTGGGCTCTGGCAGGCAGCTCAGGCTGCAGGCTGACTTGTTGCTAGGCCTGGCTTGGGCTAAGCCGGCCAAGAATCCACATCCTGAGGATATGAGGCTCCACCAGACTGGGCACTGGGGGAAGGAGGGTGGCTGTGGATTTTGTCCTTCTGGGTGTTCCCATGGCTCAGGCCTGGAGGTCGGGACAAAGAGTCACAGGCCTGAGTCATTGGGCTGCTGAGAGCCAAACATTTCTTTGGCCCCAAGGCATTAGGATGTCCTGGGCAACCCCTCAGCCCTTCTGAAGGTGCAAGGGCGAGGTACAGGGAGAAGGGGCAGAAAAGTGGAGAGAGACAGAGACCAGGACCCTGGGAGGGCTCAGCTGCTGGAGCCTGTCAGGGGCAAAATTTGTTCTGACATAATTTTCAAACAACAGCAATTTCTAGGAAAGAACTGTGCACTGTCTCCTCTGGGCATCTCACGGCGCTGCAAGTCTGACGAGTCCCAATTGAGCTCCTGAGCGGAGGCACCCCAGCTGCTCCTCCTTAATGGCCGCCTCATCCTCAGAGTGCTCAGACCCAGATGTCACAACTGCGCCTTCCCCGCCTGAGGCCAGGTCTGCTGGTACATCTCACCCCACCACCTCCTCCACACCCGTCTGGCTGCGCTCAGCCCCTTATAAGAACTGCTCTCATCTGCCTGAGCCCTGAATGTCACCAGATGCGGTCCCTGCGCTCAGCACCCTCTGGGCCTGGTGTCACTCAGGGTGGAAGCCCTCATCTCCCGAGTCGCAGCCCCTCCATCCTCTCTCATCCCCCCAACCCCCCGACTGCTTCTCTGACTGCCTTGGCCCTGTGCCTCCATCAGGCAGGGAGTTCTGTCTCTCAACCTGCAGACAGGACTGGGAGAGCAGGGGCTCAGCCAACCGGCCACCCCACACAGTCTGGAGGGGGCCGAGGCCCACTCACCGGCAGCTGTTTCTCCAGGCAGATGCTGAAAGTCTTGGTGTGGTTGGGCTTCAGCTTCTTCAGGGGCACCCTTGTCTCCCCGATGAACTCGTTGTGGCGGAATTTATCCTCATCACACACGGAGATGCTGCAGGCAAAAGGCCAAGCCACATCTCAGACGCCCCTGATTTGCCTCCAAAGATGGGGGAGGGGTGTTCACAAGTGAGGGCGGAGGTGGGGCGGTGCGGGGAGGGAACAGGTGCCCAGGGGGGCCCCACGCACCGCAGGGTCTTGCGGATCATGTCCTCGTCTGTGATCCCGTAGTAAGTGAGGGTCTCATTCCATGTGGGGTTCAGAGTGTTACGCAGGGTTTTGGTCCTAAGTTTATTTGCCTGGAGAAAGGAAAACCAGATGAGTGCAGAGAAAGAGCGTGTCCCCCACAGATGGCCACGTCCTCCACCCCGCTCCCTACTCTGACAAGGCAAAGTGGACTGAGGTTGCAGGCAGGCTGAGATTGTTGATTGGTTGACTTTAAAACCCGGAGAGCAGGACGGAGGTCTGTGGTACAGTGGCTGCTTAGTACACTCCTTGGTAGGCCCTGGGTTTGATCTCTAGCAGCAAAACCAACAAAATAAAAGGAAGGTGGAGATAATCCTGGGCGATCTGAGCAGCCCGTGGGATCACAGGAGCCCTTAAAAGTGGGAGCAGGGACACTGAGGGAAAGAGTCAGAGGGAGATGGGGTGGGGGAAAAGGTCAGAGAGATGCACCAGCCTGGCTCCCTGGCTCGAGCATGAGGAAGGGGCGTGGAGCCAAGGATCTCAGGGGGCTGAAAGGGCAGGAAAGTGGATCACCCCTAGGGTTCTACAAGAACACGGTCCCGCAGACACTTCGAAGTCTGTGATTTTATTTATTCAGTGGTACGAGATTGAATCCAGGGCCGTGAGGCTGAGCTCCATCTCAGCCCTTTATTTTGAGATGGGGTCTTCCTAAGTCACTACATTGCCCAGGCTGGGCTCAAATCTGTGATCTTCCTGCCTCAGCCTCCCAGGCATACACCACCATGCCTGGGAGCACCTTGATTTTTAGCCCAGTGAAACCCATGGCAGGCTTTAACCTGCGGAGTGGTAGGACTGTTTGAGGCCACTGAGTCTGTGGCTGTTGTTGTGGCAGGCACAGGAAGCCACCGAGGACCCCGCCAGCAGGCCCCTGGCGGGGGAGTGGGCTTGGCTTTGCTAGAAGCTGCGGCAGGTGGCAGACCACCTGCTTTCCCCTGCGTTCCTGTCTCTTGCCTTAGTTAAGGCTGCTCCTATTGCTGGAAGCCCGTGTGCTGGAGAATGCCTTGCAGGCAGCCGACAGCACTGGGAAGTTGCCTCGAATCCCACTGTGCTCTTTCCTGTCCGCCTGCTGGGCCACCCATGACACAGACAGGGGTTCTGTGGTCAAACACACTTGGCAGAGGCAGCCCACTCTGTCCACTTATGGAGAGTCACAGAACAGTTATAGAGAGTCACAGAACAGCCCGCCACCACCTCAGGGGCTCTGACTGGTTCTGCAGTGAAGAAACCTGCTTAACAAGGTTTCTCAGTATTATTTGATTGTGGAAACCCACCCCCCCTTTTTAAGCATATGATTAATCTTCAGCCAAGATTCCTTTGTATAAAAAAGTGCTGGCCAAAGGGCCGGGGATTTAGCTCAGCGGCATAAGCACCTGCTTTGTGAGCGTGCAGTTATGAGTTCGATCCCCAGTACTGATCTAGAACTTCTCTGGTGGGGGCTTTGCCTCTCTCTGCAGGTGGGCAAAGCTGGCCCAGAGGTTGCTGGGAGGCTTGGGGCTAACTGTGTGCTTTGAGCAAGGTCCCACCAGCTTGCCTGGGCTCTGAGTGTGTGTGTGTGTGCGCCCAAGTGCCCCGTCACAGTGCACAGGCCTGGGCGGGAACCCTCCCTCACCTTACTGGCTCCTGGCAGCAGATGCAGCTTGACATAGGGGTCAGCCAGTCCGTTGTGGTCCATTGGCTTCAGGCCCTGGGCAGAGGAGACCAGCAGAGTGAGAATTGGGGCTATAGAGCAGCCATGATTCCAGAGGCCTTCAGGGCCCTCTCCGCAGCCCCCAGGAAGGGCGTATGAGGACGCCTCAGTACCCGTGTGGCCTCCCTTACCCCAAGCATCATGGCCCAGCATGGCTGCCAAGGACTGCGATGGCTGCTTTTCTCTTTCTAGCTTCTCTGACATGGGGGCCAAGAGGAACAACTGTCTGACTTTGGTCAGGGCTTTCCCTCTTCCTTTCCAAATACGGCCTCTCCCTGGGGAGTCACTCTGTGACCCTGGGTCCATATAATTCTCTTCACAGTGCTTCCTTGATGGCTGTGGGAAAGGGTTCCAGGTCCTGGGAGACAGGCTGAGGCCTGGCTCAACTTTCTCTGGAGTGTCCAGGGTTCACAGGCTCCACAAGATGGCACCCCTCACTAACTCTGTGTTCGGATCCTTCCGGAGACCCAGTGGAGAGCTGAGCAGGACAGAGGGCTCAGCAGGAGGAAGGCAGGACAGGCTCTCATTCCCCAGTGCAGGAAGGAAGTGCAGTCTATGGGGCAGGCGGGCAGCCCTTCCATCCCACCCTGACTTTATTCTCAGAGGAGCTGCAGGTTTCTGACACGGAGATGGGGACACAGATGCTCGGCCAGGCCCGGACTCCTCTCCCTGTCCAGTGCCTGCCTTTGGAGACGCTCCCAGCTCGGGGCAGACACCCATCTCTCATCTGCTGCTGGCAGGGACCCAGGCTGGCCGGAGATGGGAGTTCATCTGGGTGAGCCGGGAGTCACCTGTGTCCTCGGTTTTATGGCCAGTAAGACCGAATAACAGTTTCAACTTTCCAGGCATGGACCACAGCAAGGAGGTAAGTCAGAGACAGCACTGGCCGGCAGAGGGTGTGTTCCCTTCTGGGACGTGCCAGGCTCCTTGGAAGATGCTAGGGATGTCGCCAAGGGCTGGAGCGGGGGTGTGTGGGCTGTGCTGGGGTGGCAGTTATGTGGGCTGTGAGTGGGGCTCAGCTTGGTGGCCCTGTGGTCCCCACAAGGCTGCCTTCAAGAGCCAGTCCCCTCCTCCTGGCCTCCTGGCCTCTCCCACAAAGTGCCCACAGTATTCAGGGAATCTCTGGTGGCTCTGGGACACCTGTGAGGTGGGGCAGGGGTGGTGGCCAAGCTGGCTGGCAGCATTGCCTGTTCTGTCCTTTGAACCCGGGCTGCTGCTTCTGTACCCTTCGGCCACACAGCCTGGGCGGAGAGGGCGAGCGGCCAGCAGAGGCTGCTCTCTTTTTTACCACTGACTCCTGTGTCCCCACGGGTGGCTCCCTGGCCTGTAGCCACTCAGATCTTCCGCAGGCCTCCGGGAGAGTGAGAGGGTGGTGGCCAGTGCCTGGGAGAGGGAAGGGGGAGCTGTTTCATGGCTGCAGGGTGTCAGTCTTACAAGATGAGAAAGTGCTGGCCCTGGATGTTGGTGAAGTTCGCACCACAGTGTGAACGTGATTCACACTACCACACCGTGCGCTTGAAAAATGGTCACGGTGATAATTTTTATGCTTCTATGTCTTACTACAGTGACAAACCAGCTGAGGCTCCCAGGACTATGGTTCTGTCAGGTAGTCCCAGGGCCTCCTCAGAAGGGAGTGCCCCGTATCTATGTACATGTGGGTGGCACACCAGGAGGATGGGTGGGCACACACCACCAGCCTGCCAGGTGCCCACAGCCACAGCAGCCACACAGGGCAGACACGATGAGGCCCCTTTGCAGATGAGCTGCGACTCACCCTCACCCAAAGGCCAGAGCCTAGGAGTGTCTGCCTGCCCCCCACTTCCCAGACACACAGAGCCAAGCTTTAGCCCTGCTTTGGCTCCTTCCTGGGGCTCCCAACTCCCGGCCCAGGGCCTTGGCTCTTCCCATGCCTGCACCCCTTCCCTGCAGAGCGGGATTTATGCAGGAAAGGAACAGGAAAATGGGGCTTCCGAGGCTCAGGGGTCTCCTGTCTCCTACCTCTGATGCCAGGGATGCACCTGAAGTGGACACACGCATGTACCTACATAGGTCTATGTGTCCACACGTGTGTGTGCACAGGACATCTGGGGAAGGTAGGGAAGGCAGGGAGCAGCGTGGTGTTCCAGAAAGGGAGGTGGCTCTGGCCCCGGTGCCCTGGCAGATCATTCCTCAAGCTTGGGCAAGCTCAACAAAGCTGGGTGAGGAAGAGGAGAAAGATCTGGCCTCCCCGCAGTGAGGCTGGGGGTTCAGCTCTGTTTGTGGGGTGCATATGGGAAGGGTGGGGGATGGAGAGAGTGGCCTTGAGGTACTCAACCTGGGCCTGGCCTGGCATGGTCAGTACTCACACCTGCCCATGGCAGTCGACGTGCAGAGGCCTGGGATGGGGTGGCCCTCAGCAGCCTATCCCTAGGAATGGGTACAGTGCTACAGGTGGAAGCAGAGGGCAGCAGCAGGTTGGGGTGCTGGGGTGGGACCTGGGCCAGGTGGCTCTGTACGAAGCCCCTCCATCTGAGCTGGCCTGGCCCAGGCCCTTCTACAGCCCTACGGCAGCTCCACTGGCCACAGGGGCCCTTACCTTGCGAGAGAACATCAGCCTTGGCACCTTCCTCCCAGAGGGAGCCATTGTGGTGGGGGACAAGGGAACAGCATGGGTGAAAACACAGTTGACATGGTGGCTCAAGGGGCTGAGACACGGGGCACACTGGGGACCTGGCCAGGTCACTGTGAGGTTCACAGACACCAGACAACAAGGCTCAGAGGGCCTTCCGGGGTCAGGCCCAGAGGCTAATCTGCCTAGACTGTCAGCCTTCTTTGGTGGCACCTGCAGCATTAACACAGGATAGCTGTGCCCACCCGCTGCTCATGGAGCCTAGGAGTCCAGGGGCTGAGAACATGGGGTGGGGAGACCCCCAGAGACCAGCATCTCCCCTCACGCCCTCCTTCGCCTGCACAAAATCCCTTTGACATCTTCCATCTGTGATAACCCCTGTCCTCTAGAAGCCCAGCCAGGGCCTTCTCCCCTAAAGGCCTTGCTGTATGGAGATTTTTAAGGGAGCGGGCAGCTGAGATAGTTTAGGCAGGAGCTCCCTGCTTGTGCTGTGCCCCGCACAGCAGACGCCATGATGCCTGGGAAGGCGGGGAGGATGGGCCCCCACCGGCTCTTCCTTTCCGCCTGGCGCTGGTGGGGGTGCGGGCCTACCTTGGCCTTGCTGATGGTGCAGTGGAGTGCGTTGTTCTCCTGGTCATAGAGCAGGCTGAAGTCCAGGGTGCCCAGGGCGGCTGTGGACAGAGAGGGCTCAGGTCAGGCTCCGGCTGCGTCCCTCAGAGGTGTCATCCTCCCTTTCATGGCTAGAGGAGCCACACTATTTTTTTTTCCCTTCAAGATTCTAAAGATTAATTTGGAAAAATTGGCACAGGACAAAGATATTCTTCATAATCCTTCTTGGAATATTTGAATATGCAAAGTCTTCATAAAATGTGGGCAGAAAAGCAGCAATTCTGACTTCACAGAATGTCAATGGTTTATACAAATTAAATTCCCATGCCTGCCCCCCTTGTGCTGCTCCTGCCACCCCTTATGGACAGGAGCTGTCACCAAGCTTCTGTCATCAGGCGAACTGAAAAGCATGATCATTTCATTTTTAAATGGCTGGAATTAGTTAAAGCAACCCAAGTATTACTCTTACAGCAAAGCTTAGCAAACCATCTGAGGATACCACTAATAGCATTTTAAAATTATCCAGATGACTTCCCTATTGAGACTGAGAAGCAGCACGGATTCTCGGTGCTGTGACAGACACCCCAAGGTTTGCTCCGGACACAGGCACACGTTCTGTCCACAAAACCCAGGAATAAAGAGATATGGGGGGGCCGGAGGTGGCTAAGTGGCAGAGCACTTGCCTGGGTGTGCAAGGTTGTGGGTTTGAACCCCACCCCTGCAAGCAGAACAAAAATACAAATACTTAGGCCAGTTATGATGATGGTGCCTGCTTGTAATCTCAGCACTCTGGGAAGCTGAGGCAGGAGGACTGCAAGTCAGAGCCCGGCTTGGGCAATTTAGTGAGATTCTGTCCCAAAATTTAAAGAAGTGGGGGAGGGGTGCTGTGCTGGGGATGTAGTTCAGTGTGAGGGCCTCGGGTGAATTCCCAGTACTAGAAAACCAAATCAAACAACCTTACATTTTACAAAAGAAAGATTTAAAGTCTATATACATTAATAATGAAACCATTTCTTTTAGGTAACAAGTCAAAGTAGAAAAGAATACCAGTAATTTTTTTTTTGAAATAGGAGTTACAGGATGTCACAGAACCCAGGGTCATAGCTAACAACTGAGCATCTACAGTGAGCCAATTCTGTCACCATTCTCCCAGCCCACCCAACCCCAGGAGCTGAGCATATTCTTCTCCATTTCCAGAGAGGGGACTGAGGTGTAGAGAAGCCAGGCGGGTCACCTCCAGCCCCACGGAGTCCCACCCAGGTAGTCTGCCCTAATCCCTGTGCTGTGCTGCCCCGGCTGGGCCCGGCGAGGTACCCACATGTACCTGGTGTCCTGTCTCCCTTGTGCAATGCTAGCTTGGTATCGTGTCTCAGTTTCCCTCACCTATGTCACAAAAACTGTGTGACAAGGCAGAGGCCACAGGGCCTTGAGAAGCTGCAGGTTACGGCTTGCCCGCCTGGCTGACCCACTCCCCTCACCTCCAGGTAGCACGTGGGGCTATGGCTACCTGTCTCTCCAGCCCCTTGGGGACCCTGGGCAGGGTGCAAAGACCCAGCTGGGTCCTCCTGCTGCTGCCCTCGAGTTTCTCAGAGGCAGCAGTGATTCCCCAAGGGGTAGGCAAGGATGCAACAATAACTGGGTGCAGCTGCCACCCTTAGGGGCCATCACACACAGCAGCTGTGGCCTTCCACGTGGCTCCCAGCAGGAAGGAGAAGGAGCAACTGTGGCACGGCACGGCCCCAGACAGCCATTCCCAGAGGCTCCAGAAGCCCTGGCCCTGCTCCCAAGCTGCCAGGATTCATTCATTCATACACCCACTCGTTCATTCATTCTTTATTTACCAAGTGTTTATAATCCGCTACTCAAAGACACCTGCAAGGCACCTCCCTGCCCCCAAGGAAAATACAGCTTATGGGGAACAGACACGAAAAACTTGCCACGCCCGTGTGGACAGTCACGGGTTACAGGAGCCCAAGCAGGGATGCCTGGACTCATTATGCACGGGGGCCATGGACACCAGGAGAGGCCTTGAGGAGCAGGGTTGCTTCACCTAGTCCAGGAAGGATCAGAAGGAGCTGGCCAGTGGCCTGGAAGGGCTGGAGGAGGACATACCAACTGGCGGCTGGGCACTTAGAGGCCAACCTGAGCATGGCCATCACACACTCCTCTTCTACCCTGCTTTCCCACACTGTTGCATAGACCGATGGTCTGCAAAGCGGAACATGCTTCCTGTGGTGCTTCACAAAGTTTGCAGACCCTTGGGTCAGTGCCGTGGTGAGGGCTCAACAGTTTCTGGAGTCTGCAGGGAAAAGGGCTGACTAAGGGACTGAGGCAGAGGATCTAGGCGGGTGGAGCTGCCCTTTCTTCTGAGATAACTCAGGACTATATTTGTTGCCCAGGTCCTACCAGGATGGGGCACACAACAAAGGTAAAACCTGACGTTGGATTCCCCAGGTTTGAGTCCCTGTTTGTGTCTCTCCTCCCTCTCTCCAGACCTGGTTTCATTATGTACTAAAGGCTGGCCTTGCACTCGCTATGTAACCCAGGCGGGCCTCCAACTCACAGGGAACCTCCTGCCTCAACCTCCTGGGATCACAGGTGCATGTCATCATGCTCAGTTCCCTGCTTGGCACTTCCTGCTATATGAACTCTGACAGCTTATCTAACCACTTCATGCCTCAGTTTCCTCATGTGCAAACTGGAGACAGGAGTAGTATCCGCCTCACAGCACATAGCACCTAGGTTACAGCAAGCGCTCAGCGGATAATTATAGAAGGAATAGATCCATCTAGGCGATGTTTCTAGATTACTGTGCTGGCCCCTCAGAGACCCACTCTGGAAGAAATCCATTCTAAACTGGATCACGCCTCTCTCTGCCTTTGGGAGCAGAATACACAAATGGTCACCTAAGCCCTTCTGAGTAACCTGAGTCACTGCTATGACTATGATGATTCTGCTGTGTGTCACCGCCATAGCCCAGACACAGCAGAGGGTGACAGGCGACTCCCCCAACAGGTGCCCCAGCTGGCCCCTCTCCCTTCCCACTGGCCCAAGTTCCTTTAAAGTACCCGCCTTTGCTGGCCCAGCTTCAGTGCTACCAGTAGGAGTTTCTTCCATGAAACCATGTGACAATGACCTCTGCGTCCACAGTAAGAGGCACTGGGTCCTGAGGGAGCCTAAGGGACTCACTCCTGAGCAGACAGCCTGTGCTCTGGTGCTAACTGCTCCTGGCCTTTTGTTGCCCTTACCCCAGCTGTGAGGAGGCTGGGGGAAGCACACATGGCCATTCCTGTACCCACAACCACAGGCCTGGGCCCAAGACTCACTCGGCTGTGTGTGTGTGGTGTTGAGGCTCAAATCAGTGACCACTGGGTGATACCCCAGTCCCTTTTAGAATTTGAGTCGTACTTGTGATGCTCCTGCCTCAGCCTCCTCAAGTGCTGAGATTACCAGCATTTACCACTGTGCCCAGCAGACTCATCTGTAATGACATTCTTCAAATCTGCTGCTGTGTTGGGGAGTTTAGCTTAGTGGTATAAGTGCCTGTTTGGCAAGCACAAAGTCCTGAGTTCAATCCCCAGTACCAGAAAAAAAAAAAAAAATCTGCTGCTGGTATGGTTGGTTGCCAGTCCATCAGGCTGCCCTTTGGTCCAGAATTGCACGTCCCCTGCCCCTGGCTCCCCTGAGACCTTAGCCTCTGAGAACAGGAACCCACCTTGGCCACACTCCTGAGACCAGCAGGAGTGGGTGTTCAGTTCAAACCCATGTGCCCTCTGGGTGCTCACCAGGGAACAGCGTCTGTAAGAACACACACTCCACAAAGCCTCCCTGTTTCCAGGCCCTGGGGATGGCCAAGGTGGCAGGGCAGAGGAGCCCCTGGCACACGCTGTGGGCATTCCTGTCTAGGAGGCTCACATGCTCCAACGGGGAAAACTGCTGCCTGCTCCGACTTCCTGGCATGGCTGGGGCAGGATTGAGGGGTGTCTCTGAGCGCTCTGGGATGTGTGCAAAATGCTAGTTTACAAGCGCAAGTGCTGGCTCTAGCCTTAGACTTGCAGTGCTTGGAGGCCCCGGGCAGAGTCTATATCCAGGGTCCCTTTCCTTTGGGAAAAGGCGACTCAGAAGGGAGGTGACTTGGGCAGAGGGGCCCAGCAGAATGGGAGAATTTCTGCAAGTTATTGTTTGCCATTTTGTTTAACCAAAATCTTAGAAGCTAGAACTATGGAAAAAGAAAAAAGTGGGGCTACTGCTGTGAGAGAGGGAGTTGGAGGTGGAGACAGAGGCCCGGCTAGGCTGGGGCTGAGGGGAACAGGACGGGGAGGTGCTTCTCTGTGGGAGCCACCAGCCCTGAGCCCCTGCCCTTGAAGCCACTCGGAGGATCACCTGCCCCCACTGAAGCTTAGTCTGGGGAAGAATAATGAGGGTTGGTCACTAATGGCCCTTTGAGAGTTGTCACCGCCTGTCGATAATTACAGAGCTTAAATGGGGCTAATTCAGGGAAATCATGTTCAGGCCCCCACAGGGTCCTCTCAGGCTGAGCATCTCCCAGCATGGCTGGCGGAGACTGACAGCCTCAGCAGGACCTCGGTCTGCTCCCGAACTCGCCTGACCCCCACACCCTTGGCAACAGGAAATCTTGTCCTGGCTTTTTGTGTGAAGAAAAATGTCATCCTCTAAAATCATTTCCTCTCTCTTTCCTTCCTTCTTTTTTTTTGAGTACCAGGAATCCTCATTTCTTTTTTCAACCCTGTGGCAAGAACCATAGAAAAGTATTAAGCCTGACTTGAAAGCATTCATAGTTGGGGAAACCGAGGCACTGAACCAGATAGGCAGTACAGGAAGGGACAGAGAAGTGACCTGTATGTTCCTGCTTCTGAGGAGCTTAGAATCAGAGGTTCAGGACTTCTACAAATCTCTTCATTCCTCTGTTTTAAATGGTCCAAAGGTTCTCCATCACTCCCCAGACTCAGTTCAACCTCCTTGGTATAGCATGAAGACCTTCGGTGACATGACTGAGCTGTCTCCTCAGGGTCTCTTCCCTCACCTCAGGCACTTTACCGTGTCTTACTAGGCTTGTGGCCACACCCACCCTCTCTCCCTTCCTTTCTTCCTTTATATTTTCGAAACAGGGTCTTGCTATGTTCCAGACTTGCTGTGAAATTGCAAAGTAGCCCAGGCTGGCTTTGAACTTGCAATCCTCCCGCCTTATCCTCCCCCGAGCGCTGAGGTGACAGGCATGCACCACCACCCCAGCTGTATTTCTGACACTGAGCACTCATGAACACAGCTGTCCTCCTCCTTCCATTCTGCCAGCCTGCTTCTTCCTAACTCCTGGCTTCAGAACAAGGCCTCCATGTGGCCAGCCGAGAAAGCCAGAGCTTTCTGTTGGCCATCCCTGTCTCTCACTGCCTGCCTGGCCACTCCTTTGTCTTGATTTTGATTGACGCCTTGAGGTCAAAGGTTGTGCTCCAGGCTACCTGTATCTTCCTGCTGAGTACAGTGCCTGATGCACAGCTGCTGTGATGCTGAGTGTGTAAAAAGAAGCCAACAGGAAGAACCAACAGTGCTTCCTCCTCCTCACCCTAGCTCCAGATGTGCATGGGCATCCGTCCTGATCCAGCCCCAGGGGAAACTGTGCACCGGTCTCATGTGATGTCACTCTGCACAGTGAGACCAAGCACAAGTCTTCTGGGAATTCTGGGAGAGGTTCCCTGATCTTAAACTGAAACATGGAGCAGAAAATTCATCCTAATCAAACCCAGGACCTCATTATGACCAGTCCATGTGATGCCTGGACCCACAGCAGCCACAAGGTCCCGCTTGGCTGATGGCGACAGACAACCTCCTTACTTTCACCTGGACATGCTCACCTATACGTGTAGGAACAGGAATCTGCCCTGGTTTTCAGCCTGGGAGGAAAAGGGCTGGCTAAGTGCACAGAGGCAGTGCCACTGATGGTGCTGGGCAGCTGCTTCTGCAACACCCCTGGTGCTGCAAGGCCACCATCACCTGCAGCCCAAAGCATCCTAACTGTTACAGCCTTGACAAACAGGGTCCCTTCTACAAGTGGAGCCCAGGCAGGGCAGCTCCCGGCACATGGTTGGAGCACGGCACAGCATGGGGCACTGGGAGGGGGGCATGGTGCTATGTCAGTATGCCCCTTCCGAGGGATCTGCTGGGAGCCAGCGCTCTAAGATGACTGATGAGGTCCAGGTTTTGGAGTGGGGAAAACATACTTCATCCTCTGCTTGGACAACAGAGCAACCGCCCTAATTTCTTTTTGTCAGAACAGAGATAATCCAATAATTAGGGCAGCAAATAGCATAACCCTGGCTAAAGCCGTAATGAACCATCTGGCTTGAATCATTTAGGCTTATTCTAGGGATGTGGCTGTCACAGCCCAGAGCGGGCACTGCCTAGGGTAGCCAATGGAGGGTGGTTCTCTTCCCCACAGGAGCCAGGATTCTTTCCATCCCAGCAATTGATAGTATCTGAGCCTCGGGTCAGCAGCCTTGAAGGGGCTAGGCTCAGCCCAAGCGGCCCTGGCTCTCTTCAGCGTGTGCTCTGGCGGTATGGGTGTGGCCAGCCTCTGTTTAAGCTGCTGAGCCCAGGGTGCTTCCTATTGCAGACCCCTGTGTGTCTGTTCCCAGCTGAGACCCCTGTGTGCTCTGAGCCAGGGACCCAGCCCTGTCCTCTGTGGTCCCACTCCCCGGTACCCTGACTCCTCTGCTGGGTTGATGGGTTTGGAGGTGGGGCGGCTGGCCTCAGCTTTGGACTTCTTGGTTCCCTGCGCACCTGTGGGCTCACAGCCAACGAAGTGACCAGTCCTCTCCCCTCTTGACCATGTGTCATCCAGAAGCCCTGTGTGGTTCCAGGAAGGTGGCTTGCAGGCAGGCACAAACCCTGCCCATCCTGCTCACTTCTCTAGCAAAGCAGCCAAGATGCTGATAATAAGAAGAAGCTCCCCACCCTGTCTTCTGGGGGTGGCTTTGGGTCCAAAGGGGTAACGGGTTCCAGTCAACACCCCCATCCTCCCCTCCCACAAGTAAGAAGGTTAGTTTTGCACAAGGTGCCAGGTGCAGGGGTGGGGGGCAGATCCAGGGCACCAGACCTGCAGACGATAAACCCTCTCGACCCAATTTCCCTAAGGCAGCAGGCAAGTGGCAGGAGAGCACAGCTCTCCAGCCCCATGCCTCGGGGCGAGACCTCAATAAGTCAGAGGCCCAGAGGGCTGTGGTCCGGCATGGGGAATTAAGTGCACACTAGGCATTTTCCCCACAGAGGTGCATGGATCCGGCCACCCGCAGGTAGGGCAGAGGGCTCTGTATCCCAGACGCAGTGTTAACCCCCACCTGCAGTTTCCAGCCAAACACGTTACGCGCAAAGGGCCGACTGAAAGCCCAAACCCGGCTCAGCCATCCTTGCACGCTGGGAAGGGGATGGGCGGGCCCTGAGGAAGCCCCCACAGGACCCCTGGCCCTGCAAGGACCACATCCCTGGCAGGCTGGTTTTCAATGCTGGTTTTCGCTGTATGAGCAATGCGGCTGGGGACACAACGGGGCTGGGGAGCCTTCCACGGAAACGCCCCCCAGCCTCCCAGCCCTCCCCGTATAAAACGATCGGGAATGGGACTGCTGCAGCTCCTCGTTTCGGTCTCCCCGATAGTCTCAGGGAGAGTAGTGGGAGCGAGCATAAGGCACCCAGAGGATCCGCTGGCCGGGCCTCGGCCCTGGGGACCCTGTCGCTTGCTTGCTCCCTCAGCTGCGTTCCCAAAGGAGGGGGCGCGGGCTGGGGGGGGCACCTCGGGGAAGCGGGCGTAACAGGTGGCGGAGGTCGGCGGCCGGAAGAGTGCGCGGCGGGGTTCACGAACGCGGGAGGAGAAAGCGCCAAGGTTTTTCCAAAGGACACGCGGCCCCGCTGTCCTGAACCTCGGCCGGCGCACCAGCAAAGCTGCCGCGCCGCGCCAGCCACCAGGCCCGCTGGGGAAGCCGCGCCGCCCCAGCCCGGCCCCTCCCCGGCCTGACCTCGGCTGCGAGGCGCCCCGAGCGGGCTCGCGGGCCAGCGACCGCGCAGCCGGCAGCAACTGGTGTCTCTCCGGGGCGCAGCTCCGCCCTTCCAGGGAACAAAAGCTGCCGCCCGCGCCGGAGCTCCGGGAGGGTGGGCCAAGAGGGGGCGCAGCGCCGGGGCCCGGAAATGGGACGCCCCCAGAGGGCGCCCCTAACTTCCCACCTTTTCCGTCCGGGTCTCGGGAGGTGTCGCGCGGGTCTGCAGGGCGCGCCAAGCGCGCGGAGTCGGCGAGGGGCTGCGGCCGGCCGGCCGGGGGGGTGCGCGCCGCGGAGGGCGCAGGGCCGGGCCCGGAAGCCGCGACTTGGAAACTTACTGCAGTCGTCCGACTCGTAGCCGTCGGCGTCCGGCTCGTCCTCGGGCGGCTTGGCGGGCGGCCGCGCGGGGCTGGGGCCGGGGCTGGGGCTGGGGCTCGGGCTGGCGCCGTAGGCTCCGAAGAGCTGGTCCACATCCTCGTCGTCGTCGCGGGCGCCGTCGGAGGGGCTGCGGCGGCCGGCGCTGGCCGCGGCTGGGCGTGCGGTGGCGTCCGGGGGCGCCTCGGCCCGAGGCCCGGCGTCCGGGGGCAGGCCCCGCGGGAAGCGGGGGAAGTAGTCGGAGATCTGTTTGATGGGCCGGATGGGGCCGGGGCACACGTCGATGGCCATATGTTCCTGGATGCTGATGGTCGCCTTCTCCCCTCGCCGCCGGAGGGTCATGCAGGCAGCGCCGCCCCGCCCGGGCGCGCCCCGGCCCGGCGCGACCCGGCCGGGGGCGGCTCAGCAGGCCCGGCGGGGCGCGGCGGGGGCTGCGGGCATCGCGGGCGGCGCCCCCGGACGGTCCTGACGCGGCTGCTGCTCGCTCGGCGGCGGTCGGCGCGAGTGAGTGCCAAGGGCCGGCAGGCAGGGGGCGGGCCCAGCCCGCGTCACCCGGTAGCAACCAAGCAGTGCGAGTGTGCGGGCTGCGCGGGCGGGCGCCGAGCGAGCGAGCGAGCGGAGCGAGCCAGCGCCGCCACACTCACTCGCGCTCACGCGGCGCACACGCCGGCCCGGGACCCCGCGCGCGCACACACGCGGGCTGGCGGCAAGGCCACCCGGGCGCCTTCCACGCGCGCACTCTCACAGGACAAACACGGAATCAGCCGAACAGAGACCCGCAGGACGCAGACTCAGATTCCCGCCGTGTCAACACGGACTGGGGTCCGTTCCCTCAGAAGGGACACACGCAGGTGTACAAGGGCATTCCAAGTACGCGCAAACGTGTGCAGAGATACTTAGTGGAAGCATCAGCTGTCGGATATGCACATACCAAACGTGCACACGCAGAGTTGGTGAAGAACGCTGGGACTCAGTACCCCTCCCCAGGGAACATACACGCACTCCTAAGAGAACACACACACGCCGATGATCACGGATTCCCAAGGCACAGTCTTCCAAGCCCCAAAGCACACCTAACAGGACACACACACACATACCTATGAAGGCCAACAGGGTACCAGAGCATGGCTCCTCCTCGTCTAGCAGAACGGACACCCGCACTCCTACCGTGCGAATGCAGGGACAGGCTAGTCACACACTGGTATAGCCTGTGCACACTTCCTTGTAGGTCATAAGCATGCACATGGTAACTCTGAGGCAGCCCCTCACTTGGCCAGTGAGAGGTTGGAAGGGGACTGGGGACTGCTGGATGAGGAGCTGGTGGGGCTTGGTCAGGAGGCTGAGGGCAGGTGGGCGGGTAGAGGTACGTGTGATGAGTGAGGCAGAGCGGGAGGCAGGACCGCCCCCCACCGCAGCAAATCCCTGACAACCTACCCCAGCTGCTGTCCTGCTTGCTGGGAACAGCTCTGCTGGGAGCAGGCGGCTGCTTATACAGGTGCCCTCGGAAAACCGTAAGGTGAGTGGAATCCTGTTTACTCTTTGGTTTCCCCTGACATGCGAGAGACACTTACTTTCTTGGCCAAGTCCCTCCTGTGAGTCTAAAGGAGGGATCTGAACCCTGAGCTCCACCTCATGCTCCAATTACCTATGCCCAGTAGGGAGCAGGGAGAAGAGAAAGAAGCAAGACCATCCCTTGGATGCCCCCTGCTGCATCGTTGAGGCAGGTCATTTGATCTGCCTCATCTGTGAAATGGGCTAACTCTGACCTCTGCGGGAAGGCATTGTGGAGAGGCCCCATCTAGCACTGAACATAACAGGTGTGAGAGAGGTTCTCAGCAAGGCTGGCTTTTTCTTCTAACCCTTCTCTGGGGAGACGAGGCACCGGGGAGAAGTAACATGTTTCATGTTCAGTTTTGAGCTGGGCTGTCACTGTATGATATGTAGTGCCAAGACTGCACAGCTGTTACCTCACTGGTTCCCTGTGCTACCCTGTGATGTAGCAAAACACATTATTCCCATTTTGCAGGTGAGGAAGTAGAGGCGCAGGCACAGGGATCTGCTGGGATGACTACTGTCTGGCAGCAGCACAGCTGAGGTTAGAATCCGAGGTTCTCTGACTCGTTTGCTGTTTTGCTCTTTCTTCCCCCACCCCTTCCCCATACACACAGAGCTCAAGGGGCTCAGTGCAGATCTGGGCACACAGGTGAAATCTTCCTGGGGCTGCTAGGAGCAGGGCAGCCTCAGGGAGAGGGGAGGGGCTGAAGGCTTGAGGGACCACAGTGGGAATAACCCGGCCTGGGGCTCCCCTGAGGTCTTGGTGGAGCAGAGCTCAGCTTTCCAAAGGACAAAGGCCAACGGAAGAACCTAGACTCAATGGGGCCTCATTCTAGCAAGATTTAAGGTGATGTGCTGGGGGTGTAGCTCAGCAGCATAAGCACCTGCCTGGCAAGTGCGAGGTTCTGAGTTTGATCCCCAGTATCAAAAAAACAAACAAAAAAAAATTAAGGGGATTGGTCTGCACACAGAGACGTGATTACTTCTTCCATACCATAGGTACCTGCATCATAAAATGATTATGTAATGATATGGATATTAAAGTACTCATGCAGACACTGAACTGTCATTTCATAATTCCATGACTGAGGAGCAAGAGGATGTGGTCACCACCTTACACAGGGGGAAACAGAGGTGGCCAAGTGACTGGCAAGCTGGGGACAGCCGGGGATATATTAACCCCCAATGCTGCACCCTTTTAATATCAAGGTCTTGTCCCTGTGTGGATTCAGAGTGGGGATGGCAGAGGGGCCCAACCTCCCCCTCCTATGGACCCCTCCCTCTTTTGATCTTCTGTGGGTCTGCTTTCTTTCTTTTTCTTTGACAGGGTTTCAGTATGCAGTTCAAGCTGGCCTTGAACTCACTACGTAGCCCAGGCTGGCCTTGAATTTGTAGCAATCTTCCTGCCTCAGCCTCCTGAGTGCTGGGACTCTAGACATGTACCACCAAGTCCAGAATGGGTCTGACTTTTTGGAGGAGCAGCTCACAGCTCTGCTGGAACTGGCTGGGGAAGGGCCTGGAAGAAGAGGGACTAGAAAGCCAAGTCTCTGAAGCCAGGGACCCTAATGATGCCTCCTGGAGAAATGCATGTCATTTTCTGCAGAGCTAGGACTCATTCTGAGTCTGATTTTGTAGACCCCTGAGCTGGGCTGAGATGGCTGGGTTGCCAAGGAGGGAGGGGGGTAGTGCTGCACGGCTGTGCAGTTTCTAGAAAGAGCATGGGTCGGGGTGTGAGACAGAGAACTTGGATGTAAAAGCCAGTGTTTGCTTCCTGCAAATCACATCTGACTTAATAGGGTTTGCTTGACTCAGGGCCTTAGTCTGTCCTGTGAGCAGAGGCACTTACAGCTGTGGAAAAAAGGTGAGGATGAGTATAAAATGCTCAGCACTGGGATCTGGGGATTTAGCTCAGCGGCATAAGCACCTGCCTGGCATTAAGATTGTGAGTTCGATCCCTGGTGCAAAAACAAACAAACAAAAATACCCAGCACCCTGCCTGGCAGGTAACTAGCACTCAGTGAATTTGTAGTTCTCTTGTTTCTCTCTTCTCAGTGCAAACCTCACAGTACGACCAGTGCCTGCCTCAGTTTCTCTATTGGTGGAGTGCAGTAGGCTGCTCTCCTTGCGCACTGCAGGGGTGAGGCGAGGATGCTGAGAACAGCACGCTGAGAAGCGGATGGACCTGCCAGAGCTGGGCGCAGGCAGCGCTGGCTGGGGTTTCGAAGCAGCGGGGCGTGGCTGAGTCCCATCAATCACGCTGGGCCGGCTGGCTCGCTGCTGGGCAGGCCCTTAGCACAGTTAAGTGGGCAGCGTCTGCCCTTGTTCCTACCACTCAGGAGCCCTGGGCTCCTGCAGGTCTCCCACCTGCTTCTCCAAACAAACCTGTGACCTCTTTAAGGCCAGCGTCCACGCGGAGGAAGCAGGCTCCTCGAAGGATGGTCCTGACTGTGTCACCTGGATATCTAATACCGATTCAGAGTCCAGGTCCACACTTCACGCCCACAGACTCTGGAAGTGCAGGCTCCATCTGCGTCTTTAAGGATTATTTTTACGCACAGCGAAGGCTGAGAACTGCTGGGTTCAGGAGGACAACGGCTCCACACAGTGATTCTTGACCTGCTGGGCTGCTCAGGCACTGTTCACACCTCGGTCCTGGGGAAGCAGAGCCTGGCAGCGGTGGGTGGGAGTCGGAATTTCTAGTTTGGCGAAGCCACGCTGGCCCCTGCTTGAGTACCTTAACTTCTTTGTTGGGTGATGTGCCTGTTTGTGAGTGTGACCTCTTAGCAGCACTTGGCGGGGATGTCCTTGGTGGAGTTCTCAGGCTGGGTCCGCCTACTTGTGGAGGAAGGGCCCTGCTTGGTCCCAGCCTAACAAACATCCATTTCTGGTGATCAGGAAGCTCTTGTCTCGCTGATGCTGTTAAAGCGTTCTGTGTAGTAACAGCAATTTTTAACCCCCAGGAGAAGCCCATGGAGGATTTCGCACGGTGCTGCTTGGTGGAGAGCAGCCTTCCAGGGGTTCTCATCCCTTACATTTATTCATGAAGCCACCTAGCAGCAAATATTTGCCGAGCGTCTCCTCTGTAGCAGTCCCCATGCCACGGTCTGCAGGGGGGCTGGTGATGGAAGCCTCATTTTCCTTTAGAGTCTGGATGATGGAGGGCAGATCAGGATGGGACATCAGGGCCATCCACTTTGGGGGACCCCTGCTTCTTGTGCACACACCGAGGCTTGGCAGGAGGCACCAGAGGTGCCGATGGATGCAAACAGGTCAGCGTGTTTGCAATCTGGCCTGTGGTTCTGCAAGGAAAACTTGATGTGCTAAGTGATATTAAAAATTCAGCTATTTCTGATAATTTATTATGCACATTTTCATAAACACATTACACTCGTCACAGTACATTTACGAGTGCTAGGCCTAGCAAGTAGGGACACGTTAGCACTTACCTAATGATGTTTTGCAGATGTCAAATGCTTGGGAGCCACAGCGATGGACTGAGTGACCCTCGGGAGGGGGTTTGTAGTCCCTTCCTTCCCTCCTAGGATGCCTGCAGATCACACATCTGGGAGCCCTTATTCATCCACTCTAGCTTTCTAGGTGAGGAATCTGGGGCCCAGAGAGATGGAGACCTCAGTCTGAGGTCTCATGAAGCAGACCTTGGCCTCATAACTATCTGCATATCTCTTGCTATCTGGCTGCACATGTCCTGGATGGAAGAATTAGTCCCTTTACACTGGCCAGGGTCAAGGCTGCCAGGAGGAAAGTGTCCATAGTGAGGGGCTCACTGTCCAGGAGCGATTTCGGTGGGGCCAGATGCCACAGAAGGATGATGTGGAGTCTTTCTGGGAGGCTCCAGAAATAACCTCTGGGAGGAGGAGGCTGTGGCTTGAGATTCAAGGCAAGGCGTGGAGGCTGCCAGAGCCCAGGACCTTGGCCAGAG